CCCTTCCATCTCCACCCTCCCCCCCACGCCCCTCGGCGAGCCGCTGAGCGCCTTCGGAAGTACTGCAATGTTTGCAGTGTTTTTGTGATTGCCGCTAGTGTTTGTTGTTTTCGGCCCCTGGGGGCTGCTCTCGTGCCCCAGAGTGCCCTCAGAAGCGTGTCCGGCTTGTTAACTGCGTCGCATGTACTCCGATTTTCAAGCGTTGATTTCTCTTCTAGGGCATGGTGGCTTGCCAGCCAACGGTTGAAGAGTCGACGCGGCGTGGCTCGAGGAGTCTGCAGACTCGGCGCCAGGCCCAGGAGCCAAATCAGATCAGAAGGCGTTCGAGGCCCCTTAAAAACCCTCCGTTATGCTCGTTGGGCCATATGCTTCATACGGCTCATGAGCATCTTAGGGCTCCTGGAGCTTACCCTTACGTTGTAATGCTCGTAGGGCCATCGGGTTCATACGGCTCATGAGGCTCCTAGGGCTCCTAGAGCTCACAGGGGCTCATAGGGTTCATCGGGCTTATCGGGCTCATTGGGCCCATTGAGGTCAGAAAGCTCATAAAGCTCGCAGGGTGCATCGGGCTTATCGGGATCATCATGCTCATAGGGCTCAGAAGCTTCAAAGGGCTCAAAAGGCTCATGGGCCTCATATGGCCCATGGGATTCATGTGGCCCACTGGCCTCTTTGGGCTCACAGGGCTCATTGGGCTCATAGGGCTCATTGGGGTTACTTGGCCTCGTGAGGTTCATTTGGGCTTATGCGGCTCATAGGGCCCATTGTGTTCATGGGGGCCGCAAAACTCGTTTGGCTGATAGGGCTCGCTTATCTCGTAGGGACCACACGGCTCACAGGGTCCATACGGATCATAGCACCCACAGGTTTCACCAAGCTCGTATGGCTCATTTCGCTTGCAGGGCTCATGGGGCTCGCAGGGCCCATAAGGGGGCAGTAGGGCTTATTGTGCCCGTTGGGCTCAAATGGCTCACAGAACTCTTAGGGCCCATCGGGCTTCTTGGCCTCATGGGGGCTCGCAGGGTTCATCGAACTCATCGGCCTCATAGGGCTCATGGGGTTCATAGGTCTCACAGGGCTGACAGGGCACGCAGGGCACATCGGGCTCATGGAGCTAATTTCGCCCATCGGGCTTATTGTACTCATTGGGCTCATAAGGCTCATAGGGTTTATCGGACTCACAGTACTCCTAGGGTTCACTTGGGCTCATAGGCCTCATAGAGCTGATCGGGCTCGCAAGGGTTCTCAAGGCTCATCGGCCGCATTGGGCTCATGCGGCTCATAGGGCTTCTAGGGCTCATAGGGCTCATCGGGCTCACCAAGCTCATAGGATAGGGCTCATAGAGCTCGTAGGCCCCACAGAGCTCATCGGGCTCATAGAGGCCATAGGGCTTTGACAGGGCCCATAGGGTTCAAAGTGCGCATTGGGTTCAGAGCTCATAGGACTCAGGAGGCATGGCGGGTTGGCCTGTGTGAGATACTGGTGCCCCTCGAGATGCTTGGGGCTTTGGCGGAACACTCTTCGGCAATATGGATTTCTGGCCAGGCGAAGCATGCCAAGACACGACAACAGATAGCCAAGCAGCCTCTGGCCCACAACCCAAGCACAGTGTATCTATTCATTGCAAGCGGGAACTTGGGGCGCGCTTACCCAGCATTAGCAGCTTCGTGACGCGTCCATCAGGATGTCCACTCCCATATGATGACCACTGCGGGATGGTTCCCATCTCCATCCCTACTTGCACACTCGACGTGGGCTTGCGCTAGAACCTAAGCGCGCTCGAAGCTGACCCTGAAAGGGGACGAGGACGAGGACGACGACGACGACGACGACGACGACGACGACGACGACGACGACGACGACGACGACGGCGACGGGTGCGGCAGCGACCACGAGGACGACAACGAAAAATATGCTAAAACATGAGCAACATCATTGGACCTGCCATCTTTGGGTTCTCTTGGGGTGCTCGTTGGGCTCTCTTGGGCCTGTTGGTGGCCTTCCTGGGGCTTCGTAGGCGCCTCTTGGGGGCCTCCTGGGGGCCTCTTGTGGCGGAAGGCTCGAAATTCCGGTTGGTGTTCCCTTTTCGGGAGCCTTTTGGGGCCCTCTTGGAGCCCTTCTTTGGCCGTTTGGAGGGCCTCTTGGGCCGTCTTGGGGCTGTCTTGGGTCGTCTTGGTGCCATCATGGGCCGTATTGGGGCGCTTTTGGCAGCCTCCTGGGCCGTGTTCTGAGTATCCTGGGCCTTCTTGGAGCGATCTTGGGCTGTTTCAGGGCCGTCTTGGAGCAAGTCGCGAGCTTCTCCCAGGGAGGAGTGCTCCCCCCGAGGGGTGAGGTCACAACCCCCGGGACGCCCTTCCCCTGCCCTCCGGCGGGGGAGGGATCAAAGGGAATGGGCTTCCCTTCGACTCGATTGCGACGTTGCTCGATGTTCCTCTGGCTGAGACCCTTGAGGAGGAGGGCTTGGGGAAAGGGGGGCTCCGACGACGGCGACGGCGACGACGTCGACTCAAACGGAAAAGCCTCTCACACATGCCGACAGGGTCGGTGGATCTATATGTTTTTGCATCTAATTGGGAAAGGCTATAAGTCATTTGCCAGGTTATCTGGTTTGACAGCCCCGTTGATGCCATATTCCGCTGAATGGTCACTTATCTCCTGGTCATCATCATCACCAATCCTGACTGTAATGAAGTCGGGGGTGGGCTTAGGTTCTTCACGTTGATCGACATGGCTAGCTGTGTGCTTTAACAAGGTAGTAACAAGAGACGTGCCTCCTCATATTACATAGTTTAGCTGCGTTCGCAAGCGGTCGCGACTTAGTGATACAGGGGGGGCGGCTATTCGGTATGCTCGTCTTTATGCTGTAATTTTACACTTTGTTGTCTCCTAGCTCTTGGCCATCATTTGGCCATCATCATCACCCATCCTGCCTGTAGTGAAGTCCAGGGGGAGATTGTTCACGTTGATCGACATGGCTAGCTCTGTGCGTTGATCAGATAGTATCAAGAGAAGCGCGCGGCCACGCGCGCGCGCATCTCTTGCACTCGCGCTAGCGCTGTGTGTGTATATGTATACATATTTATATTTTACAATACTTAGCTGCGTTCGGAAGCGGTCGCCGACTTCTCTTGTGAGACAGGAGGTGGCAGTCGACGACAGACAGCGGCAGAGGGATCATTTCAAACGACGCTCCCCGCGGCGGGCTACGAAACGCACCTCTCCTGATGAGATATTTGCTGGCCTTCGGCGCACCCCAAGCTGGCGCGGTAACCACCAGAAAGATTAGTTTGACCAGGCAGCCGGTCAGGTATTGCCTACTCCCGCTGCAGATGTGCTGGAAGTCGCGAAGTGGCTCGACGCAGACTCGATATTCGCATGAGACAGGCCGGCGGGGCACACCACGGCGCTGTTCGCTCAGCCGTTGGTGATGTCCCGCTCTCACCCCGATAGCGAATCCGCACGCTCCTGGGCGGGGTGGGCTATCAGGCTCCCATCGGCGATCAATGGGCGCCTGGGTCGATGCACCCCCCCTGAGCCCATCCCCCCAGTGACACTCGTTGTTCAGTTTTTGGGTCATAATTCGGGTCTCCAGCGACCGTTCGGGACGATCACCGGCACCCTCAGAAGGCTCTCGGCGAGGAGGCGCAGCTGCTGGGCCTATCGCCGATCTATCGGCGATCCCCCGGGATGTCTCCCCCCCTCCCCCTGCTGAGCCTGCCCCCCCGAGCGCTCCCACTCACCTCACCCTGCCCCAAGCTCCCAGGAGGTGATGACAAAGGGGGTTGTCATTGCTCTCTCCCTTGGCATTGGCGATGCCGTCCGCGGGATGGGGAGCGCGAAAGGGGAGGCATATAGTTATACTGACCCTGGGCCGATGATGTGGCTAGCCAGGAACGATGGGTATGTATAGATCGCGGCGCCCTTTCGGTGGCAGTGAGCCTCTCGAGGCTTCGATGGGATCCAGGCTCGAGGTGGACGGGCGTTCCGTCTTTTTGTTTGCGCCTCCCCGTGGGCCTCGGGACGCCTCTGGAAAGCTCTCGGGAGGTCTCCGATGGCCTCCTGGGATCTTCGGCGGCCTTGTTGGGACGCTGCGGAGACCACCTCCTGCGGCGCGTTAGGAGGAGGGCATGCGTAAGATGTCTGGTATTTCGTCTCAGCGAGGGTGGACGCATAGGCTGCATCTTTCATTGGCTCTTCGGCCTGCGGCGGCAGCAGGCGGGTGATGAGGAGGAGGAGGACGAGGCGCTTTGCACAAGCGCTGATGAGTCGTCTGCTTGTGTTTGTATCCAGCACGGTCGTTCATTCCTCTTACTGTCTTCGCTGTCTCTTAGCACTATGCGAGATGAGACTGGTGAAGCACAGCTGCAAGAATGACGGGCAAGTTGAGCAAGAGCAGGGCCAGAGGAGGAGAGGAGGACGGACAACGGTACCGCGGGCTGCCTGGTGCTTGCCGTCTGACCTGTGCCCCAACTGGGCCGATGCCGAGGAAGCCGCGGCGGCTAAGAAGAAAAAGAAAAAGAAGAAGGCGAAGGCGGCAGATGCTGGCGATGCTGCGGCGCGGAGGGGGTGTGTTCGCAGCAGCGCCAAGGCCTAGTGCCTTGCAGCAGCAGCGACGTGCGCTCGCACGTGCTGGTGCTTGTGTGCGTGGTGGTACAATTTCTCGTACGTGCCAGAGAGTGAGAGAGAAAGATTTTCAGGGGTGCGTCCGTGCCATTTGGGTTGCGGTTCTGCTTCGCGATCTCTTTTATCCCTTGGCTTCGGATGCGAATGGCACGCGTTCAAGGTAACAGGGTCATCATTGAATCATGTGGATGGTGTTACGAAAAGAGTGATTTATATATAGGGAGAGGGAGAGAGAAAGAGAGAGAGAGAGAGAGAAAGAGAGAGAGAGAAATATATCTATATATATATATATAGAGAGAGAGAGAGAGAGAGAGAGAGAAACAAAAAAAGGAGAGAGATCGTGGGGCGGCCGAGAGGCTTTCTGTTGCCCCAGGCGCGCGTGCAGATCAGGGAAGCTTCAGACATCAGCAGGTGCAATCTGTTGGGACAGTTATGGAGGGGACTTCGTAGGGGAGATCGTGCATGTTCGATCTTGGATAAGCAAGTCTCAATTTTACGTGAAGCGCTGCCAGTTTCTTCGCTCAGGGTCTTTAGAACCCGCACGGTAGAGAGTGCATGCGTACCCTGACCTTTGTCCCGTGCCAGGTCCCTCCGCAAGCGTGACATGCAGCTATCCGCTCATCCTAGCGAAGAGCGCAAGCGTACGCACATTCAGACCCTTACGCGTACTTCGCAGACACGCGCAGACATACTATCCAACAAGCGCGCACACTTTTTTTTTTTTTTTTTTTTTTTTTTCTCTCTCTCTCTCTCTTCCTTCTTTTTTACTCACGCGCACGTGCGGCACAGGGCACAGGAGTAGACAATTGCGCAGACATGCACATCACACACAGCGCGCACTTTTTCTCCACATGAGCAACGTGCAGCATTGGCCATTTCTGCACATATGGGCGCGCACACGCGCACACATGCACATTCACATACGAGCACAGGACCTTGGTGCTTGGCCAATGACACAGGGAAGGGAAGGAAACGGGAGCAGTAACACGCATACCCACATTTTCATGTGCATCGTGCATGTACTTGTGCCAGCGCGTAAACATGCACATGCACATGCACATGCACATGCACATGCACATGCACATGCACATGCACATGCACATGCACATGCACATGCACATGCACATGCACATTCGCACGCCAACGCACGTACCTCGGGAAGGGGAGGGGGAGCTAAAAGCTGGCAGCCCAAATCAGGACTTCCTCCCTTTGACCTCCCGTTCCCCTTCCCAGCCTCTCCCGCGCTCATCCGAGGTCCCCAGCTTTTTGTTGGCCTCTTGAGAGCACGTTGGGGGTCTTGGGGGACATCTCGTGGGGGAGGGCTCCCAGGCTCCCCGTGAGTTCCCAATCCGGGGTCTTTCTTGGACCCCTCTTGGGGCCCCCTTGAAGGCCTGTTGGGCCGTCTTGGGGGCCCTCTCTGCCTGTCTCCCGGCCCTCTTTGTCGCTTCATTCCGAAAACCATTTCCAGTTTATGCGCTCATGCCGATCATAAATAACTGCTTCCATCCGGCCAATACTAATTTCACCGCCATGCCTTAAAGCACTACGCGGTTCGTACCACTTCGTAAGCGGACGTGCCTGTGCTATGGTGTTGGTGTCGTGCCGAGGACGCTACCCAGATATGTAAAACATCAATCTGCAGGGTTTCACGATATGTGAGCCGAGATATATGGATTGAAACTGTTTGGCCCAAGGACAAAGAAATCCAAAGGCTCCGCCGTTCCGCATGTAGCGGAGCCTGGTTGTGCCCACGGCCAGGCTTCAGATTTCGCGACCAGAGATGGCTTCCGTGGAGGAGGTTTGAGTCGTTTGTGGCCATGGAGAGCGTTGTGGTCAGACAGAGTGAGCAGATCATGGATATCCAGAGGCAGGCCCAACGGGCCAACGCTCGGGCAGCAGCGAGAGCAGCGGAAGTATCAGGACATGAGGAGTACCGAGCAGGACCTATCCATCGTATAGAGTCACTGGGAGATACCAAACTGCTCGGGAGACTTCACAAGTTCTCAGTTGAACTGGACGAGCATGCGAAGTAGAAAGACGTGTTCACCTGGGAGATTTGGAGTTTTCTTTTCAGAGGCTTAGTGTATGGCAGTTGTTCCGTACATAGCCGAGCTGATGAGGGACGCAGCTCAGGAGGATGCTGAGGCCAACGCGCATGAATATTTAGACGAAGAGGCCCAGTGTTTGAACACCAACCTATATTACATCCTGGTGGTGACAGTCGAGGACAAGGCCGAGGGCATCGTGAACAGCGTTCCTGCAGGAGCAGGTCTGGAAGCGTTGCGATTACTATGTGTGGAGTTCGACCCGAAGGTGCCGTCGCGAGTCTCGGGGATGCTGGGCTCTATCTTGTATCCACGTGTGCAGGAGAACGACCCGATCAAGGGCATCGTACCATGGCAGACGCTGTTGAAGCGATACGAGGAGCAGACGGGCAAGAAGGTCATGGAGTCAACCGAGAAATCGGTTCTAAGCGCGATGCGGGTCCCAGACAAGCTTCGAGAACACCTGGGGCTGCACGAGGCGAGTTTCACGACGTGTGCGAAATTTTCGGCGCCTGCGGCTGGCTTCTTTTGCATTCGTCCCAGGTGGAGAACTTGCGACCCACCCGCGACCCAAACCGCGTTCAGTGTACAAATCAAATTTTCGGCGCCTGCGGCGGGCTGTTTTTGAATTCCTTCCAGGTGGAGGTGGAAAGCTCGCGACCCACCCGCGACCCAAACTATTTTCACTGAGCAAGCCACAATTTCGGCGCCTGCGGCGTGTTTCTTGTGCGTTCGTTCCAGATGGAGAACCTGCGACCCAAACCGCGTTCTGTATGCAACTCACAATTTTCGGCGCCTGCGGCGGGCTGTTTTTGAATTCCTTCTAGGTAGAGGTGAAAAGCCCGCGACCCACCTGCGACCCAAACTATTATCACTGAACAAGCCAAAGATTCGGCGCCTGCGGCGGGCTGCTTGTGCATTCGTTCCGGGTGAAAGAGGGGGGGGCGGAGGGGGACGACGAAAAAGGAGGGAGGAGGGGAGGAGGAGGACGACGACGACGGAAAGGAGGAGAGGGGGAGGATCGGGATGGGGGAGGAAGGAGGAGGAGGAGGAGGAGGAGGAGGAGGAGGAGGAGGAGGAGGAGGAGGAGGAGGAGGAGGAGGAGGAGGAGAGGAGGAGGAGGAGGAGGAGGAGGAGGAGGAGGAGGAGGAGGAGGAGGAGGAGGAGGAGGAGGAGGAGGAGGAGGAGGAGGAGGAGGGGAGGAGGAGGAGGAGGAGGAGGAGGAGGAGGAGGAGGGAGGAGGAGGAGGAGGAGGAGGAGGAGGAGGAGGAGGAGGAGGAGGAGGAGGAGGAGGAGGAGGGAGGAGGAGGAGGAGGAGGAGGAGGAGGAGGAGGAGGAGGAGGAGGAGGAGGAGGAGGAGGAAAAGAGGGAGGAGGAGAGGAGGAGGAGGAGGAGGAGGAGGAGGAGGAGGGGAGGAGGAGGAGGAGGAGGAGGAGGAGGAGGATGAGGATGAGGAGGAGGAGGGAGGAGGAGGAGGAGGAGGAGGAGGAGGAGGAGGAGGAGGAGGAGGAGGAGGAGGAGGAGGAGGAGGAGGAGGAGGAGGAGGAGGAGGGAGGAGGAGGAGGAGGAGGATGTGACAGGGGTCCAGAATTTCACGAATAGGTTCAGCTAGTGGATTTGATGTTACGTAAACAATGTCGCTCAAGGGATAAACATCTGTTTCTCCTCCGACTGCCACAGTTGGTAGCGGAGCGCGGTCCCGGCGGGCGGCCAGAGGCGCGAGGGAGAACGGGCCCGAGGCGGTCGGCTGCTCCAGCGCTCGCGTGCCTCCCGCCCCGGCCGCGCTCGCACCGACGCGCAGCGTGGTCCACGGCAGGTGCAATGCCCGATGACGGGAAGGATGAATGTGAGTATGCAGCCGGCAGCGGGCCACCAGCAGTTCAAGGCAGCGCAGCCTCGAGCGGATCGCAGGGTGGCGCAGCTGGCAACATCTCGGCGAGCGAGCTTCGGGAGATGATCCGGGAGCAAGTGGGCCCACTTGTGCAGAGCATAGTCTCCGAGACTAGTGGATCTAAAGCTCGAGCGCCGGGAAGCAGTGCAGACATCAAGGTAGATTCGACAACTGACCCATGTCAGTCGGCTCAGCAAGATCCCTGGAAGAGCGAGCGTGGCGACAAACGCGCCACCGAGGACGAGGCAGCCGGAGGAGGAGACCAGGGACGCCAGGGCTGGGGCAACGACGACGGCTGGGGCAGCTCCGGCTGGCGTGGCAGCGACTGGCGGGCCAGTCGCAGCGAGGCCGGCTGGGGCGACTCGGGCGCCTGGGATCCTGGCAGCCGCGGAGGCAGCTGGGGCGGCTCCTGGCGCGAGGGCGGCTGGGGCCGCGGAGATTTCAGCGACCCCCCCAGCTGGCCAGGCTGGGCTCAGTTCAGACAGTGGAAGAGGTCCATCCAGCGATGGAACAACAACACCGACGTTCCCATGTGGCGTCGGGCCGAGAAATTCTTGAAGCTATTCGATTACAGCTTTCAGTCGAGGTTTGAGGACATCAGCGAAAGGCCGAGGGCCACGACTTGTGGATGAGCTCCAAGCTGAAGGGCCTCCTCCTAGAGGAAGGCGCGGGCTTGACCGCGCAGGGCACTCATAACCTACGGACTCTCGCGCAGGGTCGCCTCGACTTCGCGAACGTGACCTGGGCCCTCAGGCAGATGGACGCTGGGGGCTCTGAGCGCCTGTTGCCCGGACGACAGGGCCAAGGCGCAGTGCTCGCATCATCAGCTACTGAGGACTCCAGTCCAGTTCTAGATGCCTCTGCCGGTCCTTTTCAGCCCTCCTCTCGTCCTCCTCACCCCTCTGGTCGGTCGGAGGTCGGTCGCGAGGATCCGGGGGAAGACAACGACGAGAACTACTACGATGACGAAGGGGAGGACTTAGAGGACAGCGACTCCGGGGACGACGAGCTGGCTCTGCTCGCAGAACTGGAGGACCTCGACTTGTTTGAGGATCAGGTGGACGACGCGCTGGGACTCCTCGAGAGTCGGCCCAGACCCGCAGGCCGAACTTGGAAGCAGATCAAGGAGCTGAAGCGCGCCGCCCGCAATGATCGAGAATACTACGGCGTCAAGCCGAAGCCAGGTGCTCCATCCTCGGGGCCACCTCCGGCAGGGCGTTGCGGGCTCGAGATGCGGGAGGTAGACGAGACAGGGCCCGCGGTCCAGAGGGCCGCAGATGCCAGAAGAAGCTGACTCGGGAGCAGCTGATCAAGATGACGAAGTGCAAGCGCTGTCGCCAGAAGGGGCATTGGGGGAAAGAGTGCCCGAACTATGGGGATCACCTGGGCGGCGGAGCTCGTCCCAGCAGCGGAGGCAGCGGCAGCGGTCGACCAAACCAGGATCGCCAGAAGCTCTCCGCCTACATGTTCGACGGGTTCGTGAGCCAGGTCTCTGGCCGTCAGGGCGTGTGCGCTCTGGGACCTCCTCCGTGCCTGCCCTCCTGGCGGGAGACCGAGATCCACTGCGGCTCCGTGTTCATCAACGCGTCTCCCGTACAAGGGTTGGTCGATCCCGGCGCGGGCAGTGACCTGGTGGGGGTGCAGGCTCTCAACCGCGAGGCCGAGGGTCTCGCCAGGATCGGGATGCAGTATGTGGAGATTCCGCTGCCAGCCAGGCCGCCCAAGGCAGCCCACGGAGTGGGGGGCATGGCGAAGGTGATCAACGTCATCCTCTTCCCCCTCTGTCTAGGCGGCGTGCTGGGTATCATTGAGGCGACCGTCTTGGCGGAGAATGTGCCGCGCATTCTGAGCGTAAATCTTTTGGATTACCTAGGATGCGTCATAGACCTTCCCAGGAATGATATGTTTTGCCACGCGCTAGACGAGGTTGTGAAGTTGACCGGGCTCGGGTCTGGGCACCGTCTAGTGGAGATTACTCAGCCTCTCAAGGAAGAGGCTAAGGTCCCCGCAGCAGCCCTGAAGAAGCACCCGTTCTTGAGGCCAGATTCTTTCCTACTTGACAACAGGGGCCCGCCAGTTATGTCTGACGATGGGGTTGTGTCTCAGTGCGTGATCCTCCATCTCCGCATCGGTGTCCTCATCTACCTCGTCGGGGGACTAGCGTTTCTTCGGAGCTACGGTGGCCACTGCGTCAGAACGTCCGGGGACTACCAGGGGTTCGGGGCCGCGGAGAACTCAAGGAGCCTTATGGAGGTCAACGTGTCACGGCCTCGGCCCGCTGTCCCAGGATCGGTTCGGGCCTCAGGATCCTTCGACGAAGCTAAGGTGCAACGGCCCAGGAGTACCAGGTCTGCGACGCAGGACCGAACGCGTTGGGTCCTCGAAGGTCTCATCCTTATCACCGTCATCAGCGTGGGCCATTTTGGCTCGAACGTTCAGTTTTCCAGTTGATTCGTCTTTTCGCGATCCCAGATCGATCCGAGACAGCGGAGTCAGCATTGGGAGGCTCCTCGCGCTGATCGCGTTTCTCGCTACGTGCACGACGGCCGTGGCCGGGAAGAAGAAGAAGAAGGAGCCCGGAGCCGAGCAGGCCACGGAGGACTTCTGAGCCGCCGAGAGACTTCCGACTCCGAGTCGGTCAGCTCAGTCGATCCAGCAGCGTCGCAGGTCCAGCCGAGCTTTGGGGGTCCGACGACAGCGGCAGCCCCCGACGAGCAGACGGGCACCGGGCTGCCACGCGAGTTCGAGAATGGCGACGAGAACGTCGGAGGCCCTTCCCTGGCTCAGACGGCGCAGCCATCCTCGACAGCAGCGTCCTCTGGGGAGGCGGGGCAGCCTCTCTGGACTCTTCGCGAAGCTCCAGTTCAGCAGGCCCCACCATCGGCAGGAGGATCGACGGCAGCTGCCAGCGGGTGGCCAAGGCAGCCCGCCCTCCCGCGCGAGCCTCCCCCTGGTGGGCTCGGACCCTGACCCCGCCGCCAGGCGCAGGGTCCTCCAAGAGCGCCGATGACCGGCATCGTTCCATGAGGGAATCAGCCAGCGGGGACAGCCAATCCAGGGAGGCCTCCAGCAGCGGGCGGACCACAGATCGGACACTCCTCAGCGGACCAGGGCTACGCTGGCGGCCCACACAAACGAGGAGATGCGGCAGCAGCAGCAGTACCATTGAAGCCTCCGCCCAAGCCGCCTCCCAAGTCTTTCCCCGCCTGCGATCATCCTCATCACGCCGTCAAGTGTTATGGGAATCAGAACGGTTCGGGATCCCGGTGCTCATTATGTGGGCAGCGACTGGTCTGGGTGCCACGCGGAGCTGCCGGGCCCCAGGCGGCCCCGGAGACATCGGCGGCTCAGGCCGCTCGAGACGCCGCAGCTTCAGCTGCTCAGGCAGTGGGCGTTCTACAAAACAGTCCGGAGTTTCGCCGGGTGGCGGCAGCTCTCACGACGGTCGACTCTCTCAATACTCTCCTACAGAGCCTTCAGTGGCAGTTGAACGCGCGGTGCCAGAAGGGGTCCAAGCTCTGGGTCAGGTCCGAGCGGTGCTGGGTCGCATGGCCCAGGTGGTGATGGCTGCCCAATAGACGCCCGCGCAGATCGAGGAGGGGTTGCAGCAGATCTTC